AGAAAATGTTTGGAAACCACTGGGGGGCCCAGGAGAAAAGGTTTGGGAAGCACTGCAGTAGACGATGAATTTAGTTTAAAGCTTTTAGACACATCTTTGTGAATATTTCCTGTTTTTCTGAAATTGCTTCCATCTCTAGTATATATGATGTGCTCTTTTAAGAAATGCCCCAAGTTACATGCAGTAGATCTACACGAGCCAAAGCCACATATTTCTAAGATAATAGTCGATAAAAATACAGCAAAAAAGCTTTGAAATGAGTGAAGGAAAAGCTCATAAAATAACAGGATATGGACAACAATATCCTCTCAACAAAATGAAAATAAAAGATATTTGCTCGAAAGTCATCCTGACACCTGTTCAGTCTTCTCTGAGGGCACCAATGAACTGCAGTGACTCCATTTTGTCTGGCTGAAAGGAGATACATTTGGCTCCTTTGTAAGGAAGCCCTTCAGTGCAGGGACAGAAGAAAGAGCGAGCAGCTGCATCGCCTCACACGACGCCCGCCTCTCCCAACCCACAGATCACACCGAATACATCGCCACAAAGGATGTCAATTTGTGATTGCACATAACGCAGCTTCACATTCAGAGAGGCCTGGCCCATGCCACTCATTGCTCCTCTTTAGAAACCTTCGGTCCCTGCTGCACCAGTTAGATTGAGGAGGTATCTGGGGTACCTTTGGATTGGAAAAATAATTGGTTTCCGTAAATGGAAAGATGGAAGTGTGCGATCAGCCAAGTTTGGAAAGCAGAGTTTGCGTGCTTATCATACTGCACAGCTGCACACTCCGAGCTCTTTCCTGTTTTATGGTGCTTGGTGAGAAAAGGGACTTTATTTCTCAAGAAGCAGATTGCATTGTCGAATACAGACTCGAAAATATTATTTTCTTATTTGAGGGGTCTTTGTTTACCTTTGGACCATAAAAGCTTGTGCCTTTCATACAGAGATCCCATAGTAACAATGTGTAGCTGCTGATAGGCCACATTAAATTATATTAAAATCAGTAAATGATGAATACTAGAGTCAGTCTAGAGTCTCTCTATTCTTCCTTCAGTTCTTTAAAAGAAGCAAAGAAATAATTTACTTTTCTCAGATCATCATAGAATATATTTAGAATAAATCACTGCACGTTGTATTCTGTTAAGTAGTTTAAATGAAATAGAAAAACAGCAACATAAACAAAGATTCTCGACCCGTCCAATGTTTATCCATCTCTATGGGTTACAAAATGTGTGTCAGTGCCAAAAACTCTTGAGTTTGGAGGGGAACAAAGTAGGGAGCTCCTTAAAGTACCAAACTACCATCAGTTTCCAGCACCAGAACATAAAATTAGAAAACAGAGAGCCTACTTTGTGTTTTGCATTTGAGGTTTTGATTTACTCAAAGAACCAAATTAGACTTGGTTGATTCTTGCATAAAAATATAATACATATAAAATGACAAATTGGATATTTTAAGTGGTATTTTCAAGAATTCAAACAAGAATTACACTTCAGTGTCAGAAACTGTTGACATTTATAAGACTTGGGGCTCCATTGACAGAGGACAAGAAGTTGTTTCAGCAAAGAGGCAAAGAAGGGCAGATTTAAGGACTTTGAAGGAAAGCAGCTAAATGAGGTGAAAGGTCAGATGCAGTGTGTTCATGAACACTCATACCCACAGCTTGAGAGGGCTAATGTGTACTAACAAGAGATAAAAACTAGTATAAAAATGTCTGGCCAAGGGACAAATCTCTTGACTGTTACTACATTAGGCAGATTTAGTTTTAACATGAGATCACCTCCCTGAGGCATAGTGTCTGCCATCTGGTAATACGCCATAGTCCTAAAAATAAAAATAAAAAAATCATCAGAGCACCACGCAGCTGAGAAATGCGTCACTTTTAAAATGTGTATTTGAGAACGAGGAGCACCGTGCTGAGGAATTTACCACGAGGGTGAGTGTATGAATCTTGTCATTGCTGGCCCTAAACTCCTGCAGCACGGTGAGCATATTAACGTCCCCATCGTTCACTTTTTTTTCTTTTCTTATTTTCCCCTCACCATCAGTAGTGGATGACAAAAGATGACCGAGGGATTGCCCCCCTGTCGGACGAATGGCAGGATGGCATCACTCTGTGGGCTATCCACCGGCAAACTGCTGCCACTGGAGAATCGGACATAAACAAATCTGCGCCCGCTGCTCCAATTTACTGAGCTTGCTCATCTCCCAGAGTGTGTAGTCATCTCAGAGGGAGGGGGATGGAGCACCACTTGCTGTACGAGGACGCATGGGGTCAAGGGTAAGAAGACATCTAATTCCAATCACCTATCACCTTAATTTGTTATTTTACTAAAGTGGTTATCCATCAGACAGGTGACCAACAGAGTAAGGGCATTGCTGCATAATTCAGACCATTAGGTGGTAATGCTGTATGATCTGCTTTACATAAGTCTGCCACTGTTATACTAAATACCCAACTCTAGTGATTTAATGAGAAAAGAGACAAACCAGGATGTAATATACCTGCGCTGCGGTGGGCTTTGGCTTTTTAACATAAGCTTCAAACGCTCCTTTGGGGAGCTTGAGAATTACTACGTTTTAAAAATAAAATCTGGGAAAAGGAGTGATGGGAAGTGGGGGCTCTTTGTAAGATTTAAATGCCGCACTTCGTTCTCTGCGACACACCATTGGTAATTTATTGCCCCAGCCATTACGGTTATTAGAAAACTCACTCAGGAAGACAAATGGCAGCCTGGCTGGTCGTTGGTCTTCCATCAGGGCTGACAGGGGAGACGTGGCACTCTTTGCTATTGACATTTCCAAACCTAAAGCCAAGCTCTTCTAGATGTATTGCGATTCAAAACCCATCTAATGAGCTAAATCACCCATACCCTCAGCATACAGCCTATTTTTATCTGCTTTATCAAAAGATGAGTAACCTGGTCAGCAACAGACCACAGCCGTAAGAGACAGCTATTTCATACAGAGATTTGGCTCTCTGCAGACTGATAGATTAAAATGAATCCTGCCATAAATACTTTCTATCACAAAGGGCCATTAAGAGAGAATGTTAGGAGAGTCTAAATGGAGGCTATTACTTTTGTATGACTTAAGGAGGAAAGGAAGTAAAGAGGGAGGAGATTTGAAACAAAAGTCCTGTGTGCCAATGTATTTTTTCAAATATAACATTTCTGAGGCCCATGAGTCATATTTCTCTCAGTGGCGCAGAAAGAATGACAAATGAATCCAGTTGTTTTGTAGCGATTCAATGTGAAAGGTGACATGGCTATCAGTGGCGGCTTTGGCCCCACAAAGACACCATGGACAAAATAAGCGCTTCAAAACAAAGAAAACACTGAAAGGTTTTTCAAAAAAGCTTCAGGTCATTTTAAACCAACCAATCTGCAGTTTTGATTGATTTGTAACTGAAGTTTAAGGTTACTGAAAGGAGCCATCTGCAACTGGACATTTCATACCAGTTATGTAACAATATGTACCCGTACTGGAGACATTTTGTTCCCGCTGTGACAGGTGATGATTTATAAAAATGTCTATGACATTTGTAGGAGTTACACAACTCTTACAAATGATAGCTATTGGCAGGAAGTCCTTCAGAGTTATTATGGTTTGGTCCAGAGTTACAGTCCCTCACATTTAGGTACAGACATCAGACTAATAGTTGTTACTTTAGTATTATTTTTATAATTCAACAAGCACTTAAACAGATTAAAATATGTGGGATTTGAACTATTAAAACCATACATACAGAGTGACATATTCCAGTTATTCCTGATAATTGTTGTAATTAAACTCAATTTTGTTATTCAAAAATGTTGATGTTACATTAGATCATAAAAAAAGACAGAAAAGTGTAAAGTTATGTCCATGTACTGTACAGATTTAGCTAAAAACTACATGTAAGAATCTGTTGTATCAACTAAGACATTCAGAAAACCTTCAAAACAATTAAATAATTACATCAAAAGTTACAAATTGTTTGATTCCCAAATAGGTCAGTGTGTATGTGAGAAATGATCAATGGCAGGCATTGGGTTGGGTTGCTAGGTACTTGTGACTTGTGATGTCATCATCAGCAGGTTTTTGAAGTGACTCGTTTCCAGACACCATAAACCAATAACCTATCACCAAAAAACAGCTGCATAGTTTTTTTTAGCACTTAGACTATTTGTAGAGGCAGTAGAAACTCAAATGGAAAAACATTTCTATGTCTAAAAACTGAATTTCACATAACTATTTTAAAGGTACTCTTTACAGGTGGTCTTACGTATTTGCAGATTACCGTAGGCTTGCTGTACTAAAGCAAATACATTTTTTGATGATATTCTAACTTACTGAGATGTGACTCAGTAACATACAAAAAATTAGTTAGATTTTTTTTTTTTGTCGGCCGAATATAAAAGAGCCAACAGAAAATTTTTCATTTCACATAAATAAACATAACACTGGATCTTTACTGGTCACAAACACAAAATGACTTCATTGTCTTCTTCATGAGGTCGGAGAAAACAAAGTTAGGACTACGTGTTGTGATTCGTGCGCTCTCGCTGCGAGTCCCTTATTGGTGATATGTATTGGTTTAGTGAAGGCCAGGGTTCAGGGCAGACGGAGGTTAACTGCCATTCGCTGACAGCCCAGATGAGAAAGTGATGTGCACAGTGGGAGGTCACTGTGTCAGTCCGCCAGCTAACACAGGCTCATTGGGAACTCGGCACGCTCCATTTAACTTCACAGGGCGTCCACTTCATACATGTTTCTCTCACACACACACACACACACACACACCAAGGCCGTTGGTCCTGCAGCCTCTCCTGTGTGGCCTTGTAATGCTCCTTGCCTCCCGTAGTCTTTCTGCGAAGCTAAAGTCATTCTGCCTCATTAGGGTAATTGAGACAGGCTCTCTAGAGACTGAAGAGCAGCTAACTGCTGCCCACTCTCACTTTAGAAGACCACTTAATCAACCTCTTACATATGTGTCCTTTATGCGTTTTCTGTCTAATAACTCCAGTCTTCCCTCTTGTCACACCTTTCATTCACTTCTGTTTTTTTTTTTTTTTTGCCTTGCTTTGGTTCTTTTCAAGTCACAGCACAGTGAGGCGTCAGCTAATTGTCAATGAGAAAATGATCTCAGGAATTTTCATTTCCAGACTGAAGTCCCCTGATGTAGAGAAACCCTCTGGTCCGAGGCAGCGTGAACGGGTGACAGCATCGGGGGGGGAAAAAAATGCTGATGTGTGAAGGTTGGAAAGGAAAAAAGGAGGGGCTCACAATGAGCGAGAGAGAGGAGGAAAATTCACCACCTCAGCGATTCTGGGGGCCACGCCGCTCGGCGCTGACAAAGACACCCAGATTGCGGCCAGAGGTTGTCTGAGCGAGGCGAGGTGTGCCAGAGCACCCATCATGTAACAAGTCAGATTTAGCAATACTGCTGGGTCAGGTCAAACACAGATTGAAGCTGGAGTCACAGCGGATTCCACGCTGCTTGCCTGCTCTATCACTCATCCATCCGAGCTTAAATTACTGGAGCGTCCTTCTTGCATTCAGAAATACAGACTAGTTTCTCTGAGAGGATGTCTTGGATACCTAGACGTACACAAATCCACACAAAATCAACATGAAAAAGATGTTAAAATAAGCTTCCTAATACAGCTAATGGTGTCCTATCCTCAAGAAGCTTCTGACTTAATCATGATTTCTGCATTTTATGGAGAAGTATTACGATGACTTGGCAGAAAAAAAGCAGTGTATTTTCTTTTTCTTTTCTCTGACAAAATAAAGTTGAATTATGACAAATAAATCAGAAAAACAGAGGAGCAAAAGCTGTGGTGTTCTTTCCAAGTATGTTTGGTATGTGTCTGGAATCAGAGTCACATATGTGATGACTAAGAGTGTTTGTTTGTCAAACAGAAAAACAATCCCATTAAATCCTGTTCTATTGTATAAAGTTACTTCCTCATTAAAAAAGACATGTTGATTAGGTTTAATGGTGACACTTTAATTTTGACATTCCTTTAGTCTCATTTAAACATTAATCTTAAAATGGATAAACAGAAAGAAATACTTGATCCTCAATCTTTGTTTCTTTAACTCTCTGCTTGTATTTACATATATAAGCACATAATTATTACCTAATTGTAAATTTCTTCTGGCCTTGCTTTTTTTTTTTCCCCCCCTTTAATGTTTCAGAGCCAATTTTATTGCCGGAAAAAGATAACCTTAGAAAATACGAACATGAGTTTTTAATTCTGATTTTACTTTTGGAGGGAACTAGATATCAAATCTGAAAGATAGTAGCCTCCAAAATCCAATAACCGGTTTTACCATTTGTGGAGGCAACATCCGCCTTAAAATGCTTGTAATAATTAACTGTGAGCTTTTTTTTATACTTCACTAGGAATGAAATTAGAACCACTTATTTTAGCAGAATTGTTTGATTTTATCTCTCATCTCATTTAGATGTAAGTCCTTACTTTGACTAGGCCACTCCATTACTATGAGAAATTGTTCTGATTCTTCGAGCACCAAAGCCACCTTACGCTACTGCCGGCATGTTTAACCTTGATTATGTTCTTTTTTTGTCTGAAGGCCTTAGAAACAGTTTTTTAATTCTTAAAAGTCTTTAGGTTCAGGCACAATGTGTTGCATTTTGAGATATTTTATCCTACTTCATGTTGTCTGACAGGTTCTAAAAGTCAGGTGGTAGAAAGATCTGGGTGTTGCTAATAACATAGTTATAACACCACAGTTATTTCATGACTTAGCAATAGGGTGATGACTTTTTTACAAGATGAAGTTTGGTCAGGATGGTTTTCATTCCCTTTTCTTTCCCTACTTTTTCTCAGCTCTGTATCCACCAAACACAAAACAGAAAAGGTCTCTCTGTTTAATCATCCGATATTTCAGTCTCTCTTTCTTCCTTTTTTATCATGAATCTCGTTTTATTTTCATCTTTCTTATTTTTGCCGCCCCACTTATCCACCTTCCTCCCTTCCTCGACTCTTATCAGCGACAGGCTGGAAGCAGAAGCAAGATAAGGAAATGTCCCGGCCAATACGAGCGGCTCTGGTCGAACACCCAGCCAGATTAATCATTGACACGTCCATCAGTTAACAAAGCCTAATGTGCCACTCAAACGGGAAAAGGGGAATGGAAACAATGGTGTAGATTTCTTCTCATCAAGCTTTAGCAGCTCCTGTAAAAGCGAGGTGGCACATATACCGCTTCATATTGCTTGTCACTTTAGGTGCTGAAGGACAGATTAATGAATTACAGCTGCCGCTCCACAAGTCATTTCCTTACACTCACATCACTCAGACAGATGCCCAGTCCACATTTACAAACATAGATGGACGATAAATTGGGCCTGCTTAATAACTCTGTAAAATAGAGCCTTTAATAACACTAAAAACCACTGCAGCACAACGGATTATGTTGCTAGAGGCTGTGTTTATACAAGGGATAATTCAGTATTTACATGCTGTTATTTCTCTGTAAAACAAAAACCAGATTGGGTTTTTTACTTACAGTGACACTGAATTATTTCTGAGCATAACATAGTCAGAAGCTGCATAAAGTTTTGAAGATGTAGCACTTTGTACTCTTATGTTTGTACTCAATGAATGTCATTTTTAACTGTTCTTTGTTCCAGCCTGGAATGGTTAAACAAATAAATGAATCTGCAACAAATTGTAAAAATATTACCCGCATATGTTGCAGAACTGATTTAGAAATTTGTGCCGATGATGAGTGGGTGAAAACTTCTGCTTTAAACCGTCTATGAAGCTTGAAGATGTGCAAAGTGGCGTCCTAGTTAGACTTTCTTCTTCAAGCAAGAAAACAACTGGGAGTTCTCCAGTTTCTACAATATCTATGTTATAGGAAACACAAGAATATTGAGCATAAATTAATCACAAGCATCCCCTACATGTGTTGATGAAGCAGTAAGAAAAATAACTGCACTAAAGATTGTGTCACTTTGGTCCACAAAGTTTTTCGTTTTTCTCCCAGACAGCTCCCGCTGGCTCAATTAACTATTGATCAGAATTGTGGAACCGAGTGTTAATAATTAACAAAAGCAGAGATAGCATCTGCAGCCCAGCAAACAACTTCAATACAGAGGCATCTATGTTTCTGATCGATAGGCTGCGGACGGCATGTGCAGCAGCCACCAAGAGGACCTCTTCAAGGTGGCCATGGAAACAGAGAAAGTCACATTTTATCAGACGTTGCAGCTGTGTCAGCAAATAACAGCTAAGAAATAATCAGATGTTTGTCTTATTGTAGATACCAGTGTGTGGAAAACTGTCTCTCTTTGACGTTTGAGTTATTATTAATCATCCAGCGTCTAGAAAAAGTGAAATATGAAGTAAAGTATTGTGAGAAAAATATCCCCATCCCAGATTCCTTCTGTGACAATTTTATTTATAAGGAGAAAAGAAAATATCCAAACTACTAAATATCAACCTAAATATCATCAAATGACTGCAAACACTGGCAACGAGTCGTTTACGTCACTGTGGACCAATTTTACTCAATTATTCTTTGCAGAATTACTTAATTCTTTCACATTGAAGGCTTTTCAAGACCAGAACTTGACTTATATTTGAGATGTTTCTATAACTCTAAAGATGAACTTGCAGATGTGCTTTAGATCATTATCCTACAGCACAACCCAAGTGTGATTCAGCCTTTGGTCACAAACTGATGTTCTCCGGTAGGAGAGAAGGTCATGATGTGTTGTTTTCTGTTATTATTTAGTCTACTTTACTCACATTCTCAGTAAATCCAGGAGGATTTCTAAAGTCCTTACACTGGTTCCCTGTAACTCAGCAAATAGATATTTCCGTTAGTTCATAAATAACTAAAAGATTTAGCACCAAAATACATTAAACCCCAACTACAACATTTGCAAATAGTTTAAATCCACTAATTTGGGTTTCCCTCTAAGAATGCTTGACTGCAAATTGTAAAGGTTCAAACACCAAATATATATTATACAGTGGAAACCATTTTAGCTCTGCTGCAGAAGCTAGCATCTATACAGTCTTACAGCTTTTGGGGAAGCAGCCAATCAACACCAAGGACAACAAATGGTGTTCCTTTATTGGCTGATTTGTATCAAATAGATATTTCAGCCTCCCAAGATTTATTTTCTTTCTAACATCTTAGACATGGTCTATGAAAAAAATTGTGAGTAGGCAGATTTGGAGTTGTTTCACAGAAAAGTCCTTGAATGCTCAGATAAGTTGTTGTTTTTAAGTGTGCTGTACCAATGCAGAGTTATCAAATAAATGTGTGTCTGTGTTTAAAAAAGAAACCTTATAAGTCCGTTCAGCACTATTTCTCTGTATTGGATCAGTATCTGCCGATGGAAAACCCCAGATAACTACATCAATATCGGAGGTGAATAAAGTGGATCAGTGCATCGCTAATCTTTACTCAGGTTATCTTTTCCTGATATGTTCTGAATCATTTAATTGTGAAAAAGCAAACACAACTCGGAGAGCAGAAATACTCTGACTGTGGCCATCAAAGTCCATGTAAGTAAAGATGTAGAAAACAGTGGATAGAATAGCAAGGAGGACCTGAGGGAAGTGCTGAATGGTACTGTGAGGGGATTTGAAATAGCGCCTCCAGGTAGCCCTATTTGAATATGAATGTCTGCCTTGATCCACATCAAGGGCATTGACAGGGGCACCTCTATCTACATGTACCTCCGCTGGATGTAGTCATGTCTGTGTATCTGCAAGTGTGCACAGTGCATTGCTCTGTGCAGTCATCATCCAGCGCATTATTCCAAGGTACTTTGTACAGCACATTAATCACAGGGACCCTTGAGCACATCCAAGGATCCAAATATCCCGACCTTGAGGTTACAAGAAAGACATTAGTCCTGATCCATTCAAAGTATTGGAGACAGGGAGGGAAGCAGAGGGAGGAGACAGAAAAGCTTTCAAGGTAATGAAATTCTGCCATAATTTAAAGGAAAAGACTTGTGGGGACAAGCCTGGGCCGGAGTAAGACGGGGGAAAAAAATTAAATTGGATTTTTTTTTCTCCTTTATTTTAAATTAAGCTTAAGTGCATGTTGGGGGTAGTTTTTCTTTCTCGTTTTTTTTTCTAACAAAAGCATGATAACAGCATTAACTTTGAGAATGAATCGAATCATTTCCAAACCAATTAACCTTTGACAGAGTGAATGACTGGACAAGAATGAGAATGGGTTATAGTGGAGGGGGGAGATGAAGAAGGGCGGAGGAGAGCAGACAAAATCTCATAAAAAAAGCCTTTTACAGACCAACACACACGACCCATCAGTTGCTTTGTTGGTTGAACACAAAGCACATCTGCTTTACAAACATTCCTCAACATCTGGAAAACAAGAAACGGAGAATTAAAGAATCTTCCCTCTGCATTTCCAACCGAGCCTGACTGATAGTAGGAAGGGTCTGCAGTTAACCCCACTTATTATTTATGCTCTCGCTCCTTTTCCCCTATCTATTTCTATCCCTCGCCCACTGGCTCACACACAGCTGCAGCCGGTCCATTAAGTTAATTAAAGGCTCCATTTTGAGCTGCAGCCCACTAGCAAATACGAGTGCCAATCAATAGATCTCTGGCTTATTTTCCGAGAGGGCAGGGTGAAAGCATCGTTGCTGCATTCGGGGACCTGATTTGTAGCCTTGGCAGTCACACCATGTTCTTCTTTGTCTTGTCCTCTGTCTCTGTCTAGTTTGGTAGTCACCCTCCACTCTCCACCATCTCCTTCACCCTTCCCACTGTGATGTCATCTATCAATTCACGCTTCCCTCTTTACCCCCCAACCACCCTGGGCTTTCCCCCCATCTGTCAGAACGCAGTCACGGTCCCGTGTTTCTCTACGAGAGCATGCATGCATTTATTTTAGGCGCCATCTGCATGGAGGTGCCAGATGTGAGGGGCAGCAGCTGGGGATGGAGATGAAGGAGACTCAGGCAGAGCTGAGATCAACAGGGTGTCGAGAGGTTGAGATGAGAACGAACCAAGAGATGGAGGGAAGAAGTGGTTAACGGTAACTGATCAGCGATTTAAAGGTCACAATACACACACTCTGAAAAGTGTGTTTGAGCTGTAGTTCATGTTATGGACTTATCTACATTAATCTCACTTAATTCTTTTGGTTTTGTGATGACAACTTACTTCTTTGTGTTGAATTAACTTAAAAGTTAACAATGTTTAACTTAAAGGAACTTTTCAGTTCAATGTGACGTTCGTATTCTACATCTGATGTCAAGCTTCACCAGGGACAGATCCTGGTGGCTCAGGGCAGAGCACCACTCACATAACGAGGCCCTAGTCCTCAACATGGACGTCGCAGGTTCAATTCCCAGCCTGATGACCTTTGCTGCGTGTTTTCCTCGTCTTTCATTACCTACTTTCCTGTCTAACTACTCTCAAATAAAGGCTCCCTGAGCAAAAAAAAAAAAAGATAGTTTATTTCAATATAAACTAAATGATTTGAGTAAGACTAACTGTAAATTAAATTGGGTAAACTTAATTGAAGCAATTCAGTTAGGTTGGTTCACCTACTTTCTTTTTCTAAACACAAAATCTTATTTATTTTTGTTCTATTTTCTATATGAGTCAGAATAAGAACTAAGACAAATCTAACTTACAAGTAAGTTTTCAAAAGATATGGGAGTTTGTTTCAAATTATTCTTGAATATTGATTTAAAAAGTTTTAGTTTCACTGGCAGATTTTTTTCACTTAAGACATGGAAAAATTGTTTTAAGCGAAATAATCTGCCAGTGGAACTAGAAAATTTTATTAATATTCAAGCTAACATGCTACATATTATAGCATGCTAGTTTCCCTCTTTGAGTTAAAACTTACTAGGACTTGAGTGTCAGATCATGAGTTCAAGTCAAGTTTGAAGTTTTTTATTTTGCAGCTCAAACTGATGTAATATTTTGTGTTGACTTGGATGTATATTTTGATGGCTGATAAAAATGTGTTGCTACCATGTCTTTGTCTTAACGTAATTTATCAGAAGCTATTTCCCTTTCAAAGAATTAAAACAAAGTGCTTCTTGTAGGCAACAATGTCACCAATCCATGCCTTCGATTCTGAAAATCAGACCTTGGTCAGTCACGATCAGACTAAAGGCAGAATTAAAGAAGTAAATCGTTTAACATTGATTTCCTCTGAAAATCATCCTCAAAAATAGACGTGCTGTTCTCCACAAAATCCATTTTTTCCTATTGTCTCATGCTAGAGAAGGAGAGGAAGGCCCACAGGCTAAACAACCATCATCAGCCTCATGTGGCGTTCATGTGCTATGAATAATGGCTCGGGGTGGCAGGCGGTGGAGCAGTTCAAGATCCACAGACTAGCGCTCTCCGCTGTATACCTGGTCTCCAGCAGTCCCTTCATTCCTGCAGTCACACCAGCAGCCTGGAAGTGGCGCCGCTCATCGGGCTTCCTCTCAGCAGTAATTCACCAATTCTCTCCCTCCAGGGAGGCAGCCTCTGCATGTCTTGATGGTTAGCCAGCGTTGTTTGTTGGAGGCTGTTTCTTCCTCCTCCCTCATCAGCTCCCCTTTTCTCTTCTCATCTCTCATTTTCAGTGAGGATGCCTGCTGCTTTTTTCCACTTCTCTAATCTAAGCTCCCTCTCTCCCTCTTTTGTTTTCTCAGAGAAAGCCCAAAGGGGATTGTTCATATTCTCCCCTCTTATTGTTTTTCATCTTTTTTCCTTATGACACAGAACTATCCCCCCTGAGTATCCAGCTTTCTGTCGGGGAGTTTAGAAAACGCATAGTTAACCCCATTTTATTCTATCTGTTCAAAGGTTTCACCACAAAGCTCCACTGCTCACAGATGAGGAGAAGGTATGCACTCAACAGAATTAAAGAGTGGGTCATTTTCTGGAGCAAATCAGTGGAAAGGAACCACACTTGCAGAACTGAGTCTGCCAAACAGCTGCTGTAAACGTGCAAAACAAAACAGTTCTGCTTTAAACAGGAAGAAGTTCTAAGATTATTTTAGCTCAACATAGTGGTACACTTTTATGTGATTGTCCAAAGGCAGTCCAGTATTTTGTTCCTTTTCTTCTTAAGAACACAAAACCTTACTGCAAAAACACAAAATTAGACCAAATATCTTTGGTCCTGTTTCTAGTGCAAATATCTTAATACACTCAAAACAGGACAAAACTAACTTACAAGCAACCTTTCGTCAATATATAGGAGTTTAGGTAAATAATTTAAAACTGCCTTGTCATTATCCAATGGAACAAGTACTTCTTTCCCAATTTTAAGGAATTAGCTACTTAAGTTTTGTCTTATTTCAAGTGTATTAAGATATTTTCATTAGAAACTGGACCAAAAATACTTGGTAAGATTTTGTGTTTTTGCAGTGCTTAATTGATCTCTATTTTTAATACATCAGTCATTCCCACTAACTAACTTTACAGGTTAATCTTAAATTATCACAATTTTAATTTAGTTCAGTAATTAAATTCAAAAAGTAAAACTTATTACCCCCAGTGACATATTTTCTTTTTTTAAATGATTGTTAATCTTGATGACTTGTAACTAATGAGCATCCCTAATTCTGTCCCTCTGGAAATTTGAACATTATAATGAAAAAAAAAAAAACACTTTTTAATATAGACATGTTATGTTATTTAGATGTTATGACCTATACAATCACAAGGACTTCATAGTTTTACAGCATATATTCACTGACATCATCTACGTATATCTGATAGTTTACAGAGCGCTGTATGTAAGCATATCAATGGAAAGCTTAGTGGAAGGAAAACATCTTCTCCATATGTGAGAGCAGGTCGCAGGTGTAAAAAGTTCAGGAGGAAAAACCCAAACTTCCTGCAGCGACTCTTCAACTCATTCATGGTTTTCCCTCAAAGATGGACTTGTTGAGTTCCAGCAAAATGCTCTTTTCGGAACTGTGTCCAAAAGTCTTAGCTTCCTAAAATATTGAGAATGAGAATGGTGAGTTGACTTCTGGAGTTTAGTGAGTAACAGCTTCTGTCCAGCCTCTTAATAAAAGAAGATCTTATGGTGAAGTGAAGCTCCAGAGATAATTTGGATTTCCATTCCAGTGACCACAAACATTTTTGTTTCTTACAAAATGCTTACATGCTTCTCTAAAACTACACCTGCAAAGCTACTCAGGTCTGCAGAAGGTTCCTCCACCTCTTCGCTTTGTTTTGGCTCTAGCATTTGCCAACAACTGTGCGACTTTATATAAACAGGTGTGCAGCATGTTGATTAAGTCTAATGAATTCAATTAGGCAGTAGTGGACCCCAGTCAGGATGCAGAATCATCTCATCAACCCCTGGATGAAGTCAGATGTGCCAAAACTCATTTTCAAGCATAGGGGAAATGCCTAACATTCCTAAGACAGAACAAGAGTTTTTTCTGTAAATAGTCACTGATTTTCAATATGGTTTAAAAGTTATTTTTTTTGTTACATTCTCTGTATTTCATGTTTCTGTGCGAACTCTGCATATTTACATACTGTAGTGAATCCATTGCAGTTTGCTCTATAACAATACTGTCTCTATATTTTGTTTAAACTAAATGATAACATAGAAACGAGATGTTTGAATGGACTTCATATCAAAATGATGTATTTCCTTCCGTGTAGTAAAACACATTCCAATATACCATCAAAGATAAGAAACATAAAAATCCAAATCAAAAGATGGGTGGGAGGAGAGAAGTACGGACTCCTTCTCATTGCTTTTCCGCCATGACATCATCCTTCTTCCACTCCTCCGTTTGGCTGTTTTTCATTCTGTGTCTCTTCGCCTTTTTTCTTGGAAATACACCCACACTGCATTTCTCAGGCACGTGGGCTCTCATCCTCGGTCACCCCAACCACCTCATTTTTTCAGTCCTCCCTGCTCTGCAACTCTCTCTCTCTCTCTGCGTAATTCAATCATCCCAAGGAGATAGATATCCGTCCCCCAGGAGCGCTTACGCTCTCCATTTCCTAAAGCGCTTGATCAGATTAATTGATTGTCTCTTCCCCCCACCCTCGTCTGCGCGGCCCTTTCTGCCGACCGAATCCCTCCGTGCTTCTGGAGGGTGTCCGAAAACCAAGTTTGCATCGATGTTTTAAAAAAAATTTTTGTCTTCACAGGCAGTATGGGGTTCGTAAAAGGACAAAAGGGGATATAGATAAAGGTGACATAGGAGAGTGAGCCGCTGTAGAAACCAAAAGGGGGAATTTATGCGTAGGACAAAACAAGCAGGAACACAGGAGACGCAGAGCTGAACAGGAGATCAGGGAAACGATAAAGCAGATAGGCGATCAATGACATGAAATAAACAAGACTGTTGAGGAGGTGTACATGTGAAGTAAATGTCTGTGCACCATGGGGTTTGGCTGCAAGCCTGGGCAGCACAGCAGAGGGTAGAGATGGGAGAGCCAAACAAAGCCCACAGGGAACGCGGGAAGACCTCAACTCATCCATTATAACTGGAAGCCAAGCGGCTGCCATGTCTCCTGATTGCCGAGTCCCTGCGGAGTTCCCCCCCTCTGCCTCGCTCGCCCCCTTTTCACCCTCTATGTCTCCCTTTTTGGCGCCAGGTATCGCAGTATTACAGCGCTGTTCCAGGCCTTTGGCTTCTACGCGGAGACAGGGGCCAAACACACACTCAGACCGTACACCTGCTCTTCCGTACACACAGGCACAAACACACAGCCACACAAATACAAATAGGCAGGGATAGGAACTCTCTCTTATCTACCTGCCGCACATGTTCCCCATACGTGTAAAGCTTTTACCTGAGCGCCCCATTACAGTTCAGGCTTTTTCCTCTGGAGAGCCAAATTACCTTTCAGAGTCAACCTTACCTTTTTCTACTTGCCCTTGATATTTAGTTAACTTGCATTTCCTCTGTACGTATAGAGTCATGCACAGCCACACACTCGTATTGACAACAGGCAACTCTGGGAATCTGAAAGCATGATTTATATCCTAATTTTTCCTATTTTCTTGTCCTCCCAGTAGCTATAAGTGCCTATAACAATATTCCCCTAAGTGGAGAACTTAATTTAAGTTTCTCAAAAAGATATGTTGAAAACTAGTTTCTGCTGGCTTGCACTATAAAATAATCTGCGATACTACTAATAAGATATTTTAATAGGAGTGTTTTGTTGTTGTCCAGAACTGCTGACAGTTTTTCCCCCATAAAAGTTTCAAAAAAAGTTTCAACGACTACAAAAGTAAACTCAGCGTTTACTTTCTTTATCAAAAAAAAAAAAAGAAAGAAAAATACTTGTTGGGTAGCAGACCTTGAGTTTATTTGGTAACTGTTATACTGGTGATT